AGGGGAGTAGAAAAAATGATTGTATATAAATAGGAGCCTTAAACTTATCACTGTAAAAAAAGGCATTAACTATGGACTGGCAGTGTTTAATATATATTACAGACGACATCACCATGAAAACTGATCTGTGTTATGAATCCACCAATTCCAGATTCAGGAACTAGCGCGAAGCAGTTATCAGAGACCAACCTAAAAATGGCCCGTCGATGAAATTTACCTAGCCGGTGCCGAGAGCATCATCACTTAAATGCTCATTTCTAACAGTGACGGTGGCCGGTCAACGATGAGGTGTCACTGGTCTGTCTGTGTACCAACAAAAATCAGGACATGTCAGCTCCTTTCTTACCCGTCACATAGATATTCAATTAATCAACCGTAGGTGGAGTGAACCAATCTGTGATTGGATGGTTAGAGGGACTGTGATATCTCAGCCCATCAGAATTTAAATTCTGATGCTCGCATTTATTCTTGATTTATTTCAGGATTTCCGGCGATGCGCATTCGGTGGGAGGAGACGTTCCCGTCGATGACGAGGTGCCTGTGACTTTGTAAATTTCAAAATAATATGCCGGCTCGGTATGTCGGAGTTGCTCATAGAGATAGGATGTGTGTGCGTTCATAAGGTGAGTGTATGTGCGTGTATATGAACACTGGCGTCTGTACTGATGTTAAAAAAATGTAGGTGAAGCATTTTTTTTACAGGTGTACCATGCTGGCACTTGGCAAAGACTGTTGAGATTTAACAAAGGACTTCCATTTTGAAACAGTAAAAAAATGTTTGTAGAATGTTTTTTCATGATAATACATGTCTCATTCATATCATGAAAAATAAAATACAAGTCGCGTAAATATCGACATGACAGAACTGAAAAGATAGCAAAACATCGTTGAACTTAATATCAACTCCAGTCACCTGCCTCCGGCACCACCACAACAACCATTAAAGAAAAAAAAATGATGAATCACCTCTTCATCCAAGTTTGACATGACTCCATCACTGATAAACAGCTTTGCATACTCACCACTCATCACTGGATTCGCATTCCCCGACGTTTTGGAGAAAAGCTTTGCATATACTCTAGCCGTCGGATACCACGACAGCCGGTCTCGATCCATCTGGAAAACAGCAGGACGCAACCGGCCAGCACTGTCATGCGGTTTCGCGACGGCACGATCCAGCGCTGTTGAGAGAAACGTGCGCTATACCAGTCCGATTTGGCCGTTATCAACTACTCTCTTCATTTTAAAATAGATGACCCAATTTTATACTAGCCGACGGTGCAGCCTACACGATCTAGTACTACCACATAGCTGGGGCGCTGCTGCGACAACCGGTTCGCACGGAAAAGTCATACGGGACGTGACAAAAATCGGTAGAACGTAGAAGCACACCACGGGTTCGGGTCAATTGGTTACAACTGTACCTGCATATGCACCCTTGCACACGACACCTGTTTGCCTCTGGAGCAAGCAAGTTAAGCTAGCTCGCGCGGCTGCTCGTCGGCCGACCACCAAATCGCAAGCAGCTCCGGCCGGTGCACCGACGCGCGCGTGCTTGTCAACCGCAAGCTAAAGCTCGCTAGATTTGTTGACTTATTAATTCGTGCTCGCGCGGTGCTCTTGCACTCAACCAGACGATGGGATCGGGGTATGTTGACCGATCGCCCAAGGGGGCTCTGCATGTGCATGCTACATATGGACACTGACGATCGAGCGAGCGAGCGCGTGGCACATGTAACTCCATGCACGGAGAAAATTCCCATAGCCGTGGTGCAGCAATTTTGGTGAAGGCGGGAAGCCATTTTCACACTAGACAGGAGAAGAGAACAAAACAGGAGCAAGAGGCAAAATTGGAAATGTGGAATCGTCCCGGCAAAGAAAAAGAATTGCGGAGTCGTCCGCGGTTTCTCGTTCTTGTGGCGCAGGACTCATCGTCGACTGGCCCGTCAAATCGGTTCCAGTCAAAAGAATGTTCAGCGGTGCAGCACCAAATACCCAACGAACACTGATGTTTTGCATTGGGTCCAACGGCAACGACCAAGGACTTTTCAGGGCTGTCCGGATCCCATAAGCTCACACGGCGAGCTAGCTAATTTAGCCTCCGTCCCATTTCGTGGGCCCTTCCGTCTACACGCTCGTAACCGCGTACTACCTCCTAGGATACCAAGGAAGCAAAGCAGGCTGAGCAATTACTCTGAACTGACGCGAGCAGAACGCAAAGGTTCTACTCGTAACTAGGAGTATGGAGCAAGACGGGTCGCCGCCGATCGATGGCGACGGGCACCAAGTCGTCAAGCCAAACGTGGTGTACACGTGACGAACCAGGGCCGGGTGCCAGTCCCCGCCACTCCACTATAAAGCTTAACCACCACGCATGAAATGAACCGAGCCACATCCACAGCAAAGTCCGAGCTCTTCCGAGTCACTGAATCCATTCCAACTCTCATCTCCTCCATTGTTTGGGAAATACTTTTAGATGGTTTCATCAATGAAGCAGTACAGAGATCAGGCCGATGCGCCCTCGCCCCTCTCCCTCTCTCTGTCCCTGGGAGTCGTCGCCGACAGCAGCAAGAAGATGCACCGCGGCGGCGCGGACGGTGAGTTCGTGTGCAAGACGTGCAGCCGCTCCTTCCCGTCGTTCCAGGCTCTGGGAGGACACCGGACCAGCCACCTCCGTGGCCGCCACTGCCTCGCGCTCGGCCTCGCTGCAGGGTCCGATCAGCTGGGGACCAAGAAGACGGTGGACCAGAAGCAGGCGCACCGGTGCCACGTCTGCGGGATCGAGTTCGAGATGGGGCAGACGCTTGGCGGCCACATGCGCCGGCACCGCGAGCAGGAGGCCGGCACCACGGCGCAGGCGCCGCCCGTTCTGCTCCAGCTCTTCCTCTAGCTGTCGTTCAATTGGCTTCTCTCTAGTTTTTTTTTTTTTGAGAGTTGGCTTCTCTCTAGTTGGTTCTATATAGGTAGGCATTCAGTGCAGATTTGCTGGTCACCTGTGTGCGCGATTGGATTTGTACATTTGCTGCACACTAGTACGTGTTGACCGTTGGTTCATTCTCTCGTTTTTATGATTATGTACATATTTAGGACTTTGTTCGTTCGTTGATTACTGAGACTACATATAGGTTGCATTGAATTGTTCATTATTCTGTTCTAACTGAGCCGCCTACGAGTTGAGTTGATCAATCCAGATAAATAACTCCCCCCGCGGATCAATTCCATGTCTTTTTTTAAAAGAGGCTCTTTGACTCTGTCCTTGATCAACTCCCTTGCTACCATTTTTTTTGCAAAAAAACTATCGATCTATTCATCTTCAATCATGGCAATATAACGAACATCAAAGATAATAAATATTACACCCAAACCTGTAGA